TGCGCTGTCGCGCTGACGCCGCTGACGTCTGCACTACCGCTGCTGTGTCTCTGCTCGTCGGGTTGGCTGATGAGGGAAGTCGCGGTGTCTGGTATCCGGGTCGAGAGGCGGTGAAGGGAAAGGGTAGCTCGGCTGGTGTTAACTTATATTTATTTATATTATATTGTATAATACATACCTTGAAATGTTTTTAATGAACATGTAATATCCACTTCCTCCATCTTCCAGAATCAGCAAGTTTATATGATATGGTTTCTCAATCTTCGATTAAAAAAATGGTCCGATTATTTGCTTGGTCTCTTCATTATACCCAAAGATGTTTATACTCATGTTATGATTATTCATTAAAAATGTTTTCTCACGTTTTATTTCTATAGGGAAATTTAAATTGGTGAAATTCAATATTAATCCACTATTCAAATATATTCTTTCAGTGGATATATCAATAATATATGAACTACATCTTTGGGGTTTTTTTACATTTATTAAGGCCGATATCAAGGCCCATTTAAAATAGTATGTATCATTTTTATTACATACGTTAATAATAGGTTTCTTTGAAGCTGTGAATTTTGGAAGCGGGATATATGATGAACCTGATAAAGGTGTATATTGATTCACATTCATTTCTAGGCGCATTATTTTAGTTAATGCACACCCGCTATGTTCTTCTTGGAAGTCTTGTGTTTTAGTTAGTATTTCCATAGTATGCTCAAGAAAAATAGATTCCAAATCCGAGTACTGATTCATAATACTCATTTTACTTTGAAAACATTTAATCTCAATTTCTTCCGTTTCATCCTTAAAGAGTATATATTCGGCAAATAACTCGAAATTTACTTTTACGGATATATAACTCTCTGAGAATTTACTGAGATGTGTGAGAATAAACGATCCTGCTTCACTCATAAAGTTTGCAGGTTATTGGGTGTCCGATCCATCGTTTACATACATGTAATGGAGAATCCTTCCCTTAAATCCTTCAGAAATTTTCTTAGTGCGTCCATCGACATTTTGAATTGCATTCTTTTTGTGCATTTCCGTGTGGACATGGTTTGTCCACTTGTTCTTGATAACGAACAATTAACACGAATGACAAAGTTCGAATTGGTTATTCATTTTTAGTCATATTTTATTTAATTTTTATTTTAAAACAAGAGGAAACGCTATAGTCGAGTGCCGCGACTATAAGATACCCGTTACTGTTTTACACAATTTTAAAATATTAATTTTGCTAGTGGAAATTCACAAGGCGCCACCTATTGTCAGAGGAAGTATGTTGAGTATGCTTATAGTGACGTCACTGCCCATGTGGAGCCTTATAACCTTAATTTCTTCATAAATAGCGAAATAATGTTCCGATTTGAAAAATCTTTTGTAACTCGATAGATATTAACAGAAAAAAGTTACACAAGGTCAAACAAAGGCATTCATAATAATATTATAGACTCCACAGTTTTCCGCGGTTTGTGGGCGTTAGAGTGGGCGTGGCCGGATGCAACTTCGTGGCAAGTTGCAGAGTCATCTCCTAAATACGTGTTCCTCAGCAAAATTGTGTAGCTCTTATAGTTTTCGAGATTTTTGTATTTTTGGTTTTTCGGGTTTTGTGGGCGTTAGAGTGGGCGTGGCGTGATTGGAAAAAAACAATTCGCATTGGGAGCATTATAGAAATATACATGCTTGATCCGAACTTTCTATCTCTTATAGTTACCGAGAGATCTTTCTGAAAATCCGAAAAGTCTTTTGAGCCTTGTGGGCGTATGGGTGGGTGTGGCCGGATAGTAGTACCACTATAAGATGCGCTGTCATCTAAAGATTATACTTTCTGAATTTCAACTTTCCATCTAAAAAAGTTCCTGAGATTTCAGTAATTTTTGTTTTTTGCGATTTGTGGGCGTTAGAGTGGGCGTGGCAGGATGCTGTAATAAACTTGCGCTGTCCCGGGACCTCATGAATCTTCATCCTTACTCTCAGATTTGTATCTGCTATAGTTCCTCAGATCTCAGCGTTCATACGGACGGACGGACGGACGGACGGACGGACGGACGGACGGACAGACGGACATGGCTCAATCGACTTCGCTATTGATCCTGATCAAGAATATATATACTTTATAGGGTCGCAAAAGCTTCCTTCTATCTGTTACATACTTTTCAACGAATCTAGTATACCCTTTTACTCTACGAGTAACGGGTATAAATATTTACTTGAGTTTATATATTTAATGCACCTTCGGTACACTTTTACTTTTTTGTTCAAAAAGTTGTGAACGATGTTGCACGATAGAACAATTTGGAAGAACTAACTGAATTCTCCGATTTGTATACCTGTTAATCGTTTATACCATCCCTTTATCTTGAATAAATCTTTAAAACTTTGAAATTTTCATAAACCATGGGTTCATGATTTCTGTGCCAAAACAAAGCTCTGCCACATTCGGCGCGTGTGCGACGGATGCCGTAACATGCGCCTAAAATATGTATACAAATCAGATGCATGAGTGTGAAGAGACAGTTTATTAGGATAAACAGTTGGCTGCCCTTGGCGGCATTTCCATGGCTGTCCTCAGCGAAAGATTCTCGCTACGATTGCCTTATCAGTGCATGCTCTGCCTTAGCACACACCATTGACGTCAGTCAGTGGTCCTCTCGATCGAATAAATCTAAGCACCCATGCGGTGCTCCTTATCAACCGGTTGTAGCTCGAAAATCTCTGTAATGATATGAAGCTCGCCGTGACTAGGCCAAACTCACATTTCATCTCCTCTTCATCTGGCGACGGGGGACTCCAATCCTCTCTCGATCTCGGCCATATCTCTTCTGGTCCTCGTAGAAATGGTGGATCGCTTAGCGACCGGAAACCAATGCTCAGGTACACGGCCTTGCGCGTCCTCGTTGCATCATCGTCCACGTTTTCGGTAGACGGAATCCATCTCCATTGTGACGCCTTCGGGAATTCTAAGATCTCTGCCACCCGGTTCCCGACGAACTACTTGTATCTCCGGTGGGAACTGCTTATCCTGTGTGCATAATTCGCAACTGCCGATCGCCACACCGTGCTCCTGCTTGACGTGTCCATCAGTCTCGTGCCCAACACTGCGCAATCGGAGCGCACTTCGTTTTAGAGCATACGAAATGCGCCTGCACGTCTCGGATTTCGTATGTGGCTCGCCAATAGGCCGCTGCTGCGAACGCCGACTGGCTGGAATCCGCGAAGATGAGGAGCTGTAGTGTCCGCACTCTTCCATCGCTGAAGTAGTAGCGTGGACATCGGAATTCTTCAATTTTACTCATTCCTTGCCGCCAATTCTCAAAGGTAGTGGCTCGACTCAACTGACTCCACTCCGCTAAATCTCTCTCATCAGAAATTTGGCGGTCACCATATAGCAGCTCAAGAATCCAAACGGGTCGAACGTGGACATGACCAGGCTTAGGAACTCCCTCTTCGCAGGGACTTGTTCCCCTTTCATCACGCTCCTTTTGACTCGATGATATTTGACGCCGAACTTGAAGTCATCTGTAGCCGGCTGCCAGAACATTCCTAGTACCTTCTTCTCAGCTTCGGGCGATCTAACGCTAACGATGGATTCAAGTGGGTTCAACGCTCTGACCACACTTGCCGAACTGGAAGTAAATAGACACAAATCAAACCCAGCATCTGCATGTATTTCTCTCACCCGTGTCGAAACGGCGATAGCTTCTTCTTCACTGGTGAAACTGTCGACGTAGTCGTCTATGTAGTGGTATTCGTTAATCGCCAGGATTGCTCGCGGATCCGTGCTGCTGTACTGCGATGCTTTCAAGGTTTTCACACAATCCGCCGAACATGGTGAGCAGGCCGCTCCGAACGTCACCACCTGCATCTTGTATATGTCGGGCTCCCGACGATCGTCTTCGTTTGTCCACAGGAACCTCTGGGCGCATCTGTCATGTGGCTGCATTAATATCTGATGAAACATCTCCTTGATGTCTGCATACACCCCAACTGCTTCTTCCCGAAAATTGAAAAGCACTGCTGGGAGGGGTCCGTGGCGTCGTGGGCCTTTCATTAGCGCCGAATTCAGTGACACGCCGTTCACCTTGGCAGCCGCATCGAAGACCAGCCGAATTTCACCATGCCTTGCCTTCCTGGGACCTCTGGGCTTCCTGGGACCTCTTGGCTTCCTGGGGCTCCAGTCGTCGCGCGTAACCGTTCTTGACGTAATCATCCATTATTCCCTTGTACGCCCGCGCAAAGTCCACATCACGCCTAATTTTCCATTCGATATTGACGAGTCTCTTGAGTGCCATATTGTAGCTCTCTGGCAGTCTCACCTCGTCGTCTCTGCGTAGCAGTCCAGTCGCTTTGTTGCCTACTCCAGGATACTCAGGGCCCGTGCGTCGCCGTCATCTGCAACTGACGGCATCAGCTTCACTCCACTAGCTGCGACTGACTGTGCCGGCTTCACTCCAAAATTCTCGATCTCTAAGTAATTACTGACAATCTTCTCTAGAAGATTATCCTGAGATGGTCTTTCCACTCACCGGTCTATACACCACCCATCCAAGTGCTGTGGCTGCTGCATATGGCCCTTCAGATCCATAGCTTCTGGTTCTGAGGGCTATTCCTAAATGTGCATGATCCAGTCCAATTACGATCCTTGGCGTCGCGTTTTTATACTGCTTTACAGGCAGGCGCGCATTCGCCTTCCCTGCCTTCACATCTTCTCGACGCAAGCTCTGCATCAGAAGGTTCAAATTGGTCACTCCGTACACATTCTTCAGCTTGGCTTGCCCGCTGCACAGATCTGTAGGCTAACCAATTTCGTACGCTCCTTTGCAGATTTTCCGCCAAGCCACTGCTGCCGACTCTCACCTTTCAGGTTCAGACTGCAAATGAGTTCGTCGTCGATGAGCGTGACAGACGATCCCTCGTCCAGCAGTGCGTACGAATCGACCTCCGAATTTTCACAGTACAGCATCACGGGAATAATCAGGAATAGCAGGTGACCTCCAGTCGAATTAACATAACTTAAGTTTCGGTGCTATAAGTCCTGGCGGTCGAATGTCGTTCGCCTCTCGTCCTCCCGCGTCTATAACTGCGGCTGACGTAGGCAGGCTCTTCTTGCTGGAATCCACTGACTGTGGCATTCGTAGCCGTCGGCTGCTGTCACTGTACAACCGCCGGTTTTGACTGCTCCTCTGATCCCTCCTGGGGCCTCCATCTCCGACTGGCGGCCGTCCGGGATATGCAACTGGTTCATGGAGTAGGTAGTGATGCCTAACTCGGCATCCGTAGATGTTGCATCGGCGGCCCTTCTTGCAGAGCCGGTCCGTATGTCCATACTCCAAACATGAAAAACATAACCTCAACTTCCTGGCGAACTCGATCTGTGTCGTAGAAGCGTAGTTGAATTCCTTGCAGTTCTTAATTTCATACTGTCCCTCATATATAGGGCAACATCTGGAGCGGTCTGCATACCGTACTTCCTCGCGAGCAGTATTCGCGTGCAGAACCCTTCGCTTCGGATGCTCTTTGATTCCGTCCGTGACAGAGCACACCAATTTGGCGAATTCATTAAGCCAATCGCTCAGGTTTTCCACTGTCGGATACGGCTGTGTCGTAGCAAGCGCTTCGCTCAGTCCAACTTCTTGCTCACCGGCAGTTTGGGAATCAGCTCCTTCTTTAGGTTTGAGGTTCCCTAGGTGCTGGTTGCCGGTTGTGGTTGGCTGCAGGAACGCTGCCAGTTTGCTCACTTTAGTGGCGAACTGTACGATTATTGTGATGCTGGCCTCTAGAATTGGCTGTACATCGCCCACGCTCTCCAGATGGCTACAGATCAATAGATCCGGACCTCCATAACGGAATCGTAGCTGCTCCATAACAGCTTGCACATTGCCAAGGTGGGTAAGCAGCGGCTTCACTGCTGCTCGGGCTTCGCCCTTCAGGGCTTTCACTTGCCTCTGGTTATCCTCCATATCTGTACACTGGTAAGCTGCCGTTGCCGCCGTGAACGCGCACAGGAATATTGACCATTCCTCTAGCTGACCCTCGAACTCGGCAAAATCCGGCAATCTACGTGGCGTCCATCCACGTATACCCATCGTCGACATTCGAAATAATAGGAGCAATGGTGCAGCTGCCTCCAAATTATGTGTCGGCCCACAACCTAGTTCAGGCTGCGCCGTGGCGGTAACACAAAATGGCAGAGAATAGCTCACTGTTGTTGTTGTATAAGTCCGTGTGACAGGTTGCCCGTTTGCCCAATGGCCGCCAAGCGGTGTATTCGCCGCACCGCTCACTCCATCGCCGCGTGTCCTGATTTCAACGGGATCCCTGGTAGCCTCTGCTTGTCCTTCATTTGCTCCGCCTTCACCATCTCCGATTCTAAATGTGCGATCCTTTACATTAGGGCCGCCACAACTACAGTCGTGGAGTCCGTAATCTGCACCGTTGCATCGGGCTTCAGATAACTTGCCGCTTTCCTGGCGGCTGTTCCACTTTCCTTCGGAATCTGTTGCCGTTGCCGATCACCAGCCACCCTCGCAGAGCTGGTCTGGTTGGCAGTTGCTGTGGCTGTGGTGGTCGCAGTGGCGGGAACACCCGAGACATCCAGTCTGGGGCTCCGTCGGGGCGAGTGCTTTTGTGGGCATCATCTCGCAGAGTTCGAATAAAAGATATTATCGCCGCTCGGCCGATCACGAGGAAATGTCTTCGGAACACTAGTCGATATCGCAGTTTGGTTAGCGATATCAAAGACAACAAGAGTGTGTGTTGGAGATAGTGCCTAATCTGAAATACAATTGCTTAGCCGACATACCGCAGTTTCTCTTCCCTCCCTCTGTGATGGCGCAAATCGGTATAGACCGGGCCGCCAATTTTATGCTCGTAAGGCCGATTTAGTGTGACCGAATAATATGACCCTAGAAATCCTCACACAAATAATACTGAATACTAAATTCAACCTTAACTATCGATAGCCCTAATCCGTTACGCGACCCTAGTCTTAGTATTTGAAAGACTGCACTTAGGTCAGCGATAAGTTCTTGCAGAGAGGCCAAAAAGATGATAATGTCGTCTAGGTAAACCAAACAGCACTCAGCGTTAGTGAAATTAATAGCAATATTAATATTCCATTTCTAAAAATTATTATTGTCTCCCTTCATTTATATATAGCCATTCTATAAAACGCGCCATGGGATAAATAAAGCGGCTATAAAGGCGGATGTTGTCAAATCGCTGACCAGTTCAATGTGTATCGCTTTTGTGGAGAGGCAACCAAAGGTGGCAAACGAAGATTTTCATGACGAAAAACCGCGGCTATTTGGTCTTTTATTATTTACAAAAAAACTCAAATTCAAACGCAGTAATCTGGCTCGAAGGACAAATTTATTTTATGTTTATAAATTAAGTGAACTGTATTAATGTTTTATAGGGATTTGACGTTATTTATTGATAAGCGGTTTTAAGCAACTAAGAGTTTTTAATTACTTTAGAATAAATAAATCGAGACAGTTCAATTTCCAAATTTTTATTACAAGTTCAAATCAAAACCAAATTAACTCCGCAACAAAACCACAACGAATGCAAGAAGTACAGCTTTGCTACCAAAATCTTCACGCTGCAGAAGTTCTACAAAAGCTCCCAAAAGAGTATGCGCTGCAAAGTAAGAGTAAAGCGCATGCGAAACTGAGTTAATCAAAACAACCTGGAAACTGCTGATAAGCCCGCTGCTGCTCATCCGTCTTTGTTTTGGCCTTCGGTTTTACAAAATGCGCGTTGCGATAACCGAGCGGTTGCGGGTGTCAAAAAAACGTGCAGAAAAGATAAGGCAGAAAAACGTGATACTTGAATACAAATCTATTGCAATTTCGGCTATGTGTTTGAGCTCACTGCTTTTATGTAGAATGCAATTAGAAAACGATAATAAATGCCCAATCTCTTCCTCAACACTGTTTTTTTTGTTTTTGTTTTGCTTTCCTGAATTTAGTTACACTCTTTTTATTCTCTTTCCTTTGGATGAACTATAAAAAATTCACTTTCGATTTATTTTACAAGAAAATATATATTACAATTTAGCCACCCGTGTAAAAGTGTGTTCTTTTTGTCGATGTCGAGAATGTGTACTGAGCTTAACATTTGTATTCTTTGAATTTGATTCACCAAAAAAATTATTCTTTCCATCACGGTCCGGAGTCACCAGTTATGATAAGTATCCACTGGATGTTCTGTTCGTCTGCCGTTGAAATCTAATCTAATAACTCTTGGTTCGTCATATGACGTTGCGAAACGTAGAATTTTGTCGCTTGAAAGGAGATTGTCAAAAGATCCTTCTTGAAAGTCTCTGAAGATCTTTAAGTTGAATACTGTCACATATGGAACTTCGCCAGCTCCGTTTATGGCGATTCGGTGCTTAATGCAGCTTGGAGAAATGACGCAAGCGATGTATCCAAATGCTGCGAAGATCTTTCAGAAAGATTTCTATGTTGACGATATGTTGAAAGGCGCCGGAAGCGTTGAGAACCTGCCAAGCTTCGAGATGAAGAGTCTCTGGTTTTGCAAAAGGCAGGTTTTGAATTGGCAAAGGGGTTTTCAAACTGGCCAGAGATCTCCGCGTCTGATAGCGCTGTAATGCCATTATTGGCTGACTCAGACGTAACTAAAACTCTTGGATTGGTTACATGGCAAAGATTACTTTCAATTTCGATTGGATGACTCTTTCCTGGATCTTCGTGCGTCAAAACGAAACATACTCTCGGTGACTGCGCGGCTTTTCGATCCATTGGGCCTATTGTGTCCTTTAGTCGCAAAGGCAAAAATGGTTTTACAGGAGCTGTGGGTTTGAAAATTAGATTCGGACGAGTCGCTACCAATGCAGTTACTCTCGTCGTGGGAAGCCTTCAAACGCAACTTTGCTTTAGCTGCCCAAAGCTATGGTACCGCGATTTGTTCACAGCAGGTCCCGATTGAGATATACGGCTTCGCTGACGCTTCCATGCGAGCATATGGAGCGTGCATCTACGCTCGCACTCAAACTGCTGAAGGTTTAAAAGTGTCATTGCTGGCAGCCAAATCAGAAGTCGCTCCCCTTAGCTGTGTGCAGCTCACCTTTCAGCAGATCTCGAACCCAGTAGCGGAAATCCAAGAGTGGTCGGAGAAAGCAATTTGGCGACACGTCCCTACCAGAGAACGGCTAGGGTACACCCAGAGAATGAGTGCACTCGAATCATTTGTGCCTTTTCGGCACTAAGAGTGTGATCGGCACCCTAAAATAAAGGTATGTGTCTTGCACAAGCTCATTTCGAATGTGCACTTGCGCACCCAGTATCCTTTGCACCAAAAATCGGACACACTCATAGCGAATGAAGGAAGTATCTGAGATACCCATATTTTTGGGAAAAGTGAGTCGGGTGTCTTGAAATGATTCGAGTGTCTTCAAATGATTCGAGTGTTTCGGGTGTCTTCAACTGATCTGAGTGTTTTAGGTGTCTTCAGCTGTATTGCATGAGCAGGTCATTGAGGGTAGACCGAATAATTTTACATGAAAGGAAGGATGGAAATCCCAATAATGGTCCCTTAAAACAGGCCAAATATTTTAGGATTTCCGTGTCAGGTCATCTACCTGCTATTCGCAGTGCAATTGACGTATGATCTGTATTCTTATACGCATCTGCAAAAAACGGAAATAAGTTTATAGGTAGATGTCTTGATGAAGACACGGAAAATCTTAAAATAATGGTGTTTTTTTGTTTTTTTAGTCTGTGATTGAAGACTAATCACTTGTAATGATTATAAACTCGTATTTTTTAATATTAGTTACTGAAGATGGCAATAATTTTTATTATTACAAATATACTTTTTTTTAAGATTAAAATTAATCCAAACGGAAAACAAATTATTTTGACTTTTTTAAGGGGCTATATATATGTTAAATTATTGGGATATCCTTCCTTCCTTTCATGTAAAATTATTCGGTCAACCCTCAATGACCTTCTCATGCAATACAGCTGAAGACACCCGAAACACTCAGATCAGTTGAAGACACCCGAAACAATCGAATCATTTGAAGACACGGAAAATCCTAAAATATTGATGCAATGTAAGATTTTTTTTTTGGTTTTTTAAAACTTTGTCATTGAAGACTAATCACTTGTAATGATTATAAACTCTTATTTTTTAATATTAGTTACTGAAGATGGCAATAATTTTTATTATTACAAATATACTGTTTTTTTCTAAGATTAAAATTAATCCAAACGGAAAAGAAATTATTTTGACTTTTTTAAGGGGCTATATTTATGTTAAATTATTGGGATTTCCTTCCTTGCTTTCATGTAAAATTATTCGGTCAACCCTCAATGACCTGCTCATGCAATACAGCTGAAGACACCCGAAGCACTCAGATCAGTTGAAGACACCCGAAACACTCGAATCATTTCAAGACACCCGAATTGTTTCCCAAAAACATGGGTGTCTCAGACACTCCCTTCATTTGCTATGAGTGTGTCGGGTATCTGTGCATTAGAATCATGGGCATAGAATTGAGTGGGTGACAAAAACGCAAACACTCAAAACACACAAAGCGATCTGTGCACTCCGGGTGTGTGCCCCTTTCTTGCTGTTCATGAGTGCGACAAACACTCGAAATGTATGAGTGTGATTCGGGTGCCGAAAAAAGACAACCTTGACGTTCTCTGGTCCCTACGAAAGTAAGCCCAGCGGATATAGTGTCTCGATGATGTGACGTTGAAGAGCTCGTCACGTCTATCTGGTTCGCTTGACCATCGTTTTTACTCGACTCAGAAAGCAATTGGCCTGTAAACTCACATTTCGAACCAGCTTCAGAAGTTGTGTCTATGGAGTTACGCAAGTCGGAGTTAACTCTGATCGCTACAACAGAGCCTTATGTGTTGTTTCAGCAAATAGAGTCCTTTTCGACGCACCTGAAGCTTCTGAGAGTTCTCGTGTGGGTTCCGATTCATTCGAAAGTGTAAGAAAAGTTCATCGAAATCGAAAAGATTGTTGACGACATAGGCTAAATTCGGAAACAGAGACCGATATCGCCGAATATTCAGAAGTTGAATTGAAATGTATAAGTTAACTA